TCATCGTGGACTTAGACAACCTCGCTTGCAGCCATTGTACTGTCAAACAGGTTTCCTTCCTTTTCTTTACAACACTTCTACATCACATCCTATTTAGAGCTCTTACAGTGCTTCATAAATAATGCGATAATGAGAGCCCTGCACACTTATGGGATTTGGGAGGCATTATCTCAGTTTTTAAGAGGTGGAATATGAAGATCAGAGATTAAAGGTGGCAAACCCAATGGGCTGTAGTCCAAACAACAGGAGTTTTTCCACCTCATTTCCCTTGGATCCGGAACCCTTCTTGGCTTCCCAGGCAGTAGCCCGGCTCTCCCCACTTCTCCATCTCAGCACTTCAGTCCTACCTTGTCCTTTCTCTTCAGGATAGCGTACAAATTTCGCACCAGCATATCACCATCAGCCCCTTATTGTATTTTGCTTCAGCTCTGTAGAGACAAAATTGCTGTTTCTATTAGCCAGTAACTGGGATGAGAAATGGAACATCAGCAAATCTTTCTACCATAGATTATTACTATTAAAAAGACTAAAATCATCAAACATAGAGACGCTCACTGCTATGAGAGGAATGACCTTTTACTTAATAAATAAGGCAGAGTGCAAAGGAAAGAAAGGGAAACCTCAGAGCTAGGGCTCACCTGTGGACAGGCTGTCGCTGTGGAAGCTCCTGGATTTCTAACAGGAGCTAATTAAGCATATGCAAGTTTAAGTGTGGATGGAGCATTCAGCCATACTCCTTGCTAGCCCGAGGAGGCAGCCTCCCTCCGGCTCAGGGCATCACCAGCTCCGTGGGGCCAAGGCTGACTGATGCTGAGGGCGGCACATCACAGCCTGTGGCCAGAGAGGCACAGGGTCTGAGCCTGGTGATTAAGAAAGCAACTATTTCTATTCAAAATTTTAAGCTACTCCAAAAGACACCACACTGCTGTGCTTTTCCCCAGGGAAGACAGGAAGCTACTGCCGAGCTGGCTATCATTTATAATAAAATTATTATTTTTTCCAGAGAAAGTGAAGCCTCCCTGCAGGGGCACACAGGCACCAGGATGCGGCACAGACAGCAGGAAACCGACTCGTGGGATTTTCCGTGTGCAGAAAGGGCTCTAGAGGGATGGGCGAACTGGAGGTTTTACCTGAACAACAGCAGCGATTCTGTCCATCCCCAGCAGCAGGCTTCATCGCCCCTGAGCAGTTACCTCCCATGTCTCCACCTCAGTCTCAGGATGCACCTCTTACTGCAGGGGCACACAAAATCCCAGGGTGGTTCTGGGGAGCTCCTCATCTCCAAAGTAGAAGGACCAGTGCCCGGAGCAGTGCCGGGTGCCTGCCCACCCCATTCCCTGTGGTGGGGAAAAACAGGGTCCCCTCCACTTGGCTTCTGATGCCCAACATGAGCTGCTGCACATAGTAACAGACATGGGGAAGACACACACAGGGTGTGTGTCGGTGGGTGGGAGGAACAATTTGTGGAAGGCTGGAATAAGCAGGATACCTGCAGGCAGTGGGAGATGCCTGGAAGGAAGTGCACATCTATGGCCAGTAGGCACTGGGATAAGGGACTGCTGTGGCTCAGGGCAGTGTTGCGGCCACATCCCCTCAGTGGTCCGATGCAAGCAAGTCATCATGCACAGGGAACTCAACCAGGCAGATTCCCAAGTAGCAAAGAAAAAAAAAAACCAAACAAACCCAGATGTGTTTTCCAAAAGACTACAGCCTTAGCCTGAAGAAAACACTCATTTTCCTGACAATGGCTTTCACAGTGCAAAGTAGCTACTCAAAAAGCCCGATGATGTCTCTGGTGAGAAGGTGTCCCAGTAGGAGCAAACTGTGAGCAGCTCCCAGGCTGGGCTGGTGGTTGTGTCCCCTGCATCATGAGGTGAAGGCTGTGACTTCTTCCACAGGTGGGACAGCCTTTGCCTGGTACTGTCTGTAAGCGAGCACACAGGCAAGGGGACTGTGGGCTACTGATTAAGAATTAACTTGGGCTGTGAAGGAAGGCTGCCCCACCAGCTCTCAAATCAACACAGAACAAGATTTTTTCAAAAGCTGAGTGAGCACCAGGATGGCAGGACCTGAGGACAGAGGGTTTAAGGGCCCAAGGAACCTGTGCGAGATGCTTTCAAACTGTAAACCATCCCTCTGAAACACCTTCATTCACACTGTTCTAGGCTTAGTTCTAGTTTATCAGCCATTTTTCACAGTTAGCTTTGTTTTAGAGTAACCCATACTGATTCTTCGGTTCCACAGATCTCACTGTTTTGCATCATCACTCTGGCTAGTTGTTCTTTCTGCATTCAAGCAACTCAAAGCATATATCCTTAATCTAACTTTAGTTTGGAGGTTTTGTTTGTTTTTGATCTTTTGTCTATTGATAAAGCAATTTTTGGATAGATCAAATCCCTCACAAAGATTAGTGACCGATGGTACAGGCTCCACTTAAATGCCCTGTTGCACGATTATTTCTTACAAGAGGGGCTGTGCAAGCCTCAGGACTTAAACTTCTATTGCAGAAAGATCAAAAGGCTTGAGTCCCAATTAAAGGCCTGTCCTACTTCTTGGGTAAGAACTGTCTCTCTGTGCAAAGAGGTTATAGTATTTCCCAACTATACCTGTAGGTTTTATTATTATTATTATTATTTTAAGGTGCAAGATTGTACACAAATGCCCAGACCTTTGTTCATGGAAAACCACGTGCAAGCAAACCACTCTTATCTACTTGAACTGATAAGCAACCTGAAATGCAGTGACCCAGGCTTACAATGACTGCAGTCTATCACCACTGTTTATTTTCACTGATCATATTTAGCACTCGAGTCAAATACACTTATCAATGTTTCAGCAGCAGCCCTTTGGGATATGCAGCTTATTGTTTTGAGACGAGGAGTTTAACAGTTCAGACCAGAACCCAGAGTACTTATTTCATTACCTGCTTAAAGAGGTGGTGGCAGATAACTGTGTGGTCTATCCAGGACTGAAAAAGCTTAAAACTTGCTTCCTTTTCTCCACCCAGTATTTCTGGGTGACACACATTGAGCTCTCAGTGCTTTTCTTCTTCAAAGGAGTTTCATTCAGCAAAAACAAAAAACCTACAGCGTTTCAAGAGATTTTTTGAAAGACAATGAAGTAAAAGCTCCGTTAATTTGATATTGAAATCAACACTCCCACCACCAGAGCAAGAGGAGAGGCAAAGACATGCTGCTTCACGACTAAGCTCCAGCAGGCTGCCGTGTGAGATGGAAGCTGGCCTGCACTGGACACTGGCTTGCAATCATAAACCACTAGAATGTGCTATGTAAGAAAAGAGGTCATCATTCCTGTGTTATCAAAGGAATAAGGAAGGAAAAAGTGGCTGTGCAAAAATAACTTCTCTCCATTTCGATCCCACTGATTAGACTTACCAAGCAACTGATGTTCATACAAATTTTCTGATTAGGGTAAATTATATAGGACAGTTTCTGAGCAGCACATACATAATTTATCCGATACTTTTGAGGAAGCAACTACATTAATAGTTCAGAGGCAAGTGAACTCTCATGTCTGTAAGGATTTGTTTGAAAATGCACTTACAATAAAAACCTAAAGGCACTAACAGCCAAATCTTCCATCTCATTATGAATAACTTTTAATACCTTTGCTGCCCGCTCAAACATTTCAGCTTTAATTCACTTACTTGTCTAGCCAAAAGCAGATGAACTGGAAAGGTCTCAGTATTCCCAGGCAATCCAGAGCTCTGCATAGTAAACCATCAGCAACTACAGACAGTGCAACAAAAGGATCCATACGTAACACCTAGGACAAGAGATGGTTGCAATACAGCAGCACAGTCCCAATACGCCGTTTAAAGATACTCCTTCACCGGCCTCTCAATTATAAAAGCTGAACTCACTACAACCTTCCTGAGGAAAAAAAAAACCCCCACACTTCGTGTTCTTGATACTGATAGAACTGCATTAATAAACACGTTACCAATATTGTTAGAGATTCAGTATATCCACTTACACTAACAGATAAGTAAGCCACAGCCAGTTAAATACCAGGAGCTGGTCAATAAGCTATATTCCACAGAAAAGCACCAGCTACACTGTCTGCAGAGTTAGCTGGATAACATTTGGTAAAGACACTGCTATTTTGTTTAGGTAATAGTCTACCACTACAGCTAGAAAAAAAAAAATTATATCAATTAATGAACCGAGTAATAAGCATAGTCAAATAAAAATTGTTTCCTTTTCCACCATAAAGCTTCAAGACCTTTAGTGTCTTGATCATATGATGCTACTTCATTGCATCTGTATCCCCTACAGAGAACGGCAGAATTGGCAAATGGCTGATTTCTGCTGCTAATAAAACACACTTCTCTTTTCAGCTTCATTATCAGATAACTGAAGAATTAATTTGGCCTGGGCTTCCCCCAGCCCCGCTTCAAAAATCAAGTGAAGAAAGTTGCCACAATCACCACAGAAGCAATTTGGAAGCTAACTCACATTAGTTCAAAACATGCGTCTGAATCTTGTCAATCAGTCCAGCAAAACCAAAATGTCTGAAAGATGATTGAAAAAGGCTTTCTCAGGAAAACTACAGCATAGACTCAATAATGCACCTCAGCTGTTCAATGCATCTTTGATATTATGCGGAGATACTTCTATCAGTTTTATCGAGAACTTAAGAATATTACCACCTTTGAATTCTTTAGAGAATAAACTGCAACAGAACATTTGCACATTTAGAAATTTTTTTTCTGATCATTAATTTAAAACAATAAATCTTAGAAATAGTCCCAATAATGATTAGAAAACGAGGAAACAGGTTAAAAGACAGAGGCATAAAATCTCCATAAAAATGTTTTTATTCCTTATCAGTGGAGACTGCATATGAAAAGAGGATCTATTGCAAGCTTTTCAACACAAGAAACTGCAAAAACCCAGCAATCCTCCTAAGTAGCAGAGACACTGGGGTATCCTGTTCCAGGGCAGAAGACAGTTATCAAATCCATCTCCTTGCACTCTTGCAACACAAGGAAGTTACAGTTTTCAGCAAGAGGCTAAAGAAATTATGTCAAGAAATGCCACTCTGAAGCAGCTGTCCAAGGGCAATGTTTCCCCCTGCTCATCAGTCTTCTTCCTCTTCTTTCATTTTCTTCTTTTTCTTCTTCTTTTTCTCTGTATTCTGCAAACAAACAAATGTTGCTATGAACAAACCATAATGGAGAAGCAAAGCAACACATGTAGCTAGGCAACCAAGCTCAAACTCAAAGCATCACAGCAGCTGCCATACTCAAAGCACAACTCAAGAGATGTCCCTTTTCCTCTACAGCTAATGTACTCGATGTTTACAGCACGATGGGGCCAGCAGGCAAGGGAAGCTGTGCTGTCTGCCACGCTGTTGGCAGCTCAGCACTGTGGTCAGACTGCTTCAGGCAGCATAGCTGCCCTAAACACAGGGCAGAAAATGAAATCCCATGTTAAGAACAGGATTTCAAAATTGAGCGATTAGTTTGGTTTGGTCTCCTCCACTCTACTGTTGCTTGGAAACATCAAATGATGTTTTATCAATTCAGCAGGTACAGCCTCTGCTCCCTACAAGTCCTAAACACTAGACAGAGATGCCTGTGGATCAGCACTAAGGGACACCCTCCCCACTAGAAAATACGTAGAAAGAGAAAAAAACTAAAGCTGGGGGCAGGCAGAGGAAAGGAGGGGAAACACTCCTGATACAGAGGCATTAAGTCACAAATCTCCCAGACCTTATTTTGTAATGCAAATCTTCTTGGACATTACCGTGATGGATATAATGAAATAAAGTTACTGCAACAAAACTGTCCTTGCATACCATGGGTTATACAGATAAGAATGTTTTCCCCTTGCTCCACATGTTTTCAAGAGAATCCATTCTCATAAAGGATCAGGTGGCTGTGCAACTCTGCCTCACCTCAACTGTGGGGCTCGCCTCGTCTTCTTCAGCTTGCTTTTCCTTATCCTTTTTCTTTTTCTTCTTTTTGACAGGTTCATCATCTTCTACAGTTGTCTCTTCTGTATCACAGAAGGAAGGAAAACGAGGCAGCTTGTCAGTTAAGAGTGTAAAAGGCAAAAGGAAAAGCTTTCTGTGAGGTGTAAGAAGATGCAATGATAATAGTAAGAATGCAAAATGCAGAACACCACACTGCTCTGCTCCTTCTTTACATCTCTACGTATTTTCTCTTTAGTGTGCCCTTACTTGCATGACTACTCCCTGCTATAAGCAAAATGTACAACTCTAAAACACAAGTGACAATATTCATACAGCACAATTCACATCTGGTGCAAACACCACTCCTATATGCTGCTCCCAAAGTTTAAAACAAGCTTGCATGTTTTCATTTGTCCGCCAAGTTATCAAGTACTCTTTCTGAAAATAGACTGTCCACAGTTGGGCAAATATTTTCACCAGCATCACAAGAGCAGTGGAAGGACTCTAAAATCCACATCAGAAATGCATTCAGCCAGCAGTAGCTTGTTCACAACTGACTTCCCTATCTCGATGTCGGAAATTCACTAAGAAGCAGACCAGTTTTCTTAACTGTTTAGACTGGCAAACACAAAGATCTCTTAATGCTGAGCTAACATAAAACATTTAATGCAAAACCAGAAACTCTTTCCTGTCCTGGAAGACAGGAGCTGAATTATTTATATAAGCTGAGAGGAATGTTAACACAAGGAAAGATTTACTAATGCCCTCTTACATTTATTTTTCAGAACTATTCATCAACAGCTGGCCTAATCACAGTGGTAATGGCACTATGATTTACCACGCATTTTCTAGAATACATACCAGTCTTAGGAATCTCTAGGTAAAGAAACCAAGCAGAAATCATCACCAAGCTGACAGCTGATGCAGTAGCCAGGCTGTTACTGGAGCATACCCAAGTTAAATTTATTTGCACAACTGAGTCAGCGCTGGATACCAAGTTCCTCAGGACGTATTACTCATGAGCAAGTTCATGACATAGCAACCACTGTCCTTCAGAAGCTACAAAACTGAGATGCTGAAACCAGTGGTGTTTGCAGTGTGCACAGTTGCTACTGGAAGTGTGATTTGAAGTAATTTTCTTACTGTACTCCCCCCAAAAATGAAATCAATTTAATTTTGAAGCACATTCACTTACCACTTATAAAAAGAACAGAAATAAAAACAGTGCAATTATAAAAACCTCAAAATACACAACCTGCTAACATCTTTTGACTGTACTTTGTCACAAGTTTAGTTCTTCAAGGCAGCAGAAGGGTTATATGAGTCAAAACTACACTTCAATCTTTGCCTCCAACATAAGCTTCAGACAAAAAAAAATTGGCTTCAGGGTAAAAATTTCTAGACATGTCTACAGAAAAATACAGCCAGCTAACACATGCAGTTTTCTGACATGAAAAAATGCCAGAAGCAAAACAGCAAAGGATTCCAGATAAAGGAACTGGTAAATATAATTGTAAGTGGATTCTGCCATACACATCATTCACAATGAAAACATAAGGCATTCAAAACGTGTAAAAATAAGTATCCTCATCTCCCTATGTAAGACATAGGGAAATAAAAAGTAGTTGAAAAATAAGCATAAACTACATTAAAGCAACACAGTACAACAGCAGCACACATACACATTTTGCTACGCAACACATTTTCACTCAGCTGGATTGGTAAGCTACGCATTTTCAAGCAAAATGTTGGGTGGTAACCTTGGAAAAATAACTTCTTGTTATTACCCTACATGTCATCAAGCCTGACACACCAGGCAGTGGAACCTGTCACAGTTTACAACCGCAGATGATGCACTGTGCACTTCTAGGCACTGTCACTTCTCACAGCTAGCAGCAGACTCCTTCCTGAAAATTTCGGTTGCTGCTTTCTAGCAAAGCTCATCACAAGACTTCATGTATTTGTACCCAGGCAGAATGAGAATAAAGGCTCCGGGGTGCTGGTCTTTTCCCCTCTGGGTGCAACACTTCAGTCACTCAAGCCCCGCGGGGTTTCTTTGTGACACACGGCAGCTGACAAGAAAGCCAACAGCTATCAGGCACCAAGGCACAGAAAGCAGCATCTGGAAGAGCTGTTTGACTGCCGGCCCTATGCAGTGCTGGAAATCACCAGCAGTAGTTCCACTCACCCATTTTACACCAGTTTTCTCTAAGCTTTTTACACACCAGCCTGATGTACCCTCCCTCCTCCACATGACTCTCCACATGTACAGAATCGTCACATTGCCTATCAATAAAGACACCATGTCACAATGTTGCTGTCATTTAAGGATTTGTGTCCTGCAGGGTTCATTCCATTAATTTAAGATGGTATTTCTCTTTTCAAGAGACCTTTCCAACTGACTAGCTGCTACTATATCCCGATGCTCAAACGCAAGCTGAGCACTTCACTGGGGCCACTGGCTAGCTCTGTTGGTGGTATGCATTCTGCCTAGCCACATTCAATTTCAAAGACTGTAGTCACAAAAATACCTGTCCTATTTCCCTCCCCCCATAAAAAACAAGTTTTAACAGACAGCTCCTTAAGTGGATTAGAACTTGTTTCAGGCACTATCCTTCCGCTTGGTTTCTTTTTAGGTGCAAAAGGTGAAAGTGGTTTTCATGCCTCACTCTTAACCCCCCTGCCAGTTCCTGTCCAAAGTACTGCCATACAGGCAACCCAAACAGGGAGACAAAAAAAGCCACACATCTCATCTTGCAGTAACATTTACATTTCAGGCTAGCACAATTCAAAATATTGTCCCCCTTTACAACAACTATTAAAGTAATAGTTTGGCAAATCACTTTTCAGTGGCAGCTTCCCAGTTTATTCCTGTCCCTTACCTTCCTCTTGTAATACAAACTGGATCAAAATTGATCTGGCTGAAGAATTCTTTTTTTTTTCCTGGGCTGCTTTTCTACCACCCCCATTTATCACGCAGCTGCACAAACAGCACGGGGAAGAAAGGGGCAGAGGCTTCTTTCACAACACTACATCTGGACGTGTAAACTATGACCAGGGAAAAGCTTAGAATGCTGCATCAAAAAGAACAGAACTCAGAACAGCAGAAATTAAAGGCTCATGCACATTCAAGCAGACATGCAACACAAGTCTTAATGCTGGGACCTCCTCTGCACTCTTCTGTGTATTGTGGAACTTACTGAACTACTCAAACATCTCAAACCACCACCCCTCTAGCACACTGTGCAGTCATACCAACTATACTGGAAAAGAGCAAGGTCATGGTCTGTCTGGCCTGTGTCAGGGAAATCCATGTCCTTTGCTGGGTGGTCAAATACAAGAATTTGCAAACAGGGGTCAATGCTATTTTAAAGGGTAGAGAGGACAGGGTGAAGGGATTAGTTCTGCATACAGGTGCTATGAGATAAATAAGCTCTCTGAAAACCCTCTTTCCATAGTCCGAAGCAACTGGCACGGCTAGTTCTAATGCCCAAGTAGCCAAATAAAACGACCCAGTTGATATGAAGAACTGCGAAAAAACAGGAGCTATGAATCTGAAGGATGCTTTATCTTTTCAGGAAGAAAAGCAACACATCTGAATCCTGCACTTCAGGTTTTAGGAAGAAAAAAAAAAAAAGGGGCAAACCAAAACAGCACAGATTCCAATAGTCCACAAGTACTCTGAACACTGTCTACTGCTCAAGTAATTCTTGGTAGCTCAAGGATACCTGCTAAGCTGCACCCAAGCACTAAATCAGAAGGTATCAATGCTCAATAAAGCAAAGGAAGCAAAACACAAGCGGGTTTTGTGTATGAAAGCATGAACTATTGAATAACATGTTTATGAACAGAAACAGCCTCCTCATACTGCAAGAGACCAGGCTGGAAATGAATGTAATATTTCACCTGTGAGCAGCTCACTTCTGTGAGATGTCAACACTTGCTTTGATAATGCAAGGGAAGCCCAAGGGAACAATTCTGAGACTACAATAAGGGAAGTTAGTTCAAAAGATTATCAAAAGTAGTGGCTGTGAGAACACCCACATTCTCAAAAAAGCAAACGGGCAAAGTTCAAGCCTCCGAAGTACTCGTGTGTCCTTGTCTCATTATGATAAGTACAAGAGAACAAGCTGGGGCACAGATTCAGCTTTATAGCACAAAGGATTATCCCTCCAGTGTAACTTTAATTATCAACTAAGTCTAAGTTCCTACAAGTTTCTCTATCCGGGTACACAGACCCCATGAACCAACTGGCATGTGGAAAGATCACACCTCAGTGTCATCTGAGCATGAGGAGGTACAGAACCAGCATAACTACACTCAAATACTCTATAACACAGTAGCACAGAGAAGGGCAGAAAGGGAAGGCTCCAACAGCCCTCACCTGCTGCAAGCAAGGGTAGCTGACAAAGCTTGGGAGTAGCTCATGCCCAGATCTGGCTCAGGGTCGTACAGAAGTGACTTAAAGTCACCTTCCTTTGCCTCTGCACCCACCCCCCCCTACACATTGGGTACTCCACTATAATAGCAAGTATTAGGCCAGCCATTCACAGGTACCAAAATGCACACTGCAGAGAAGAAAAGAATGTTTCTTAAAAAGAACCATAATGTAAAACCAGATTATTTTGAAGTCACAGTCCAAACTCTTCCTTCACACAGTAAGTTATCAGGGAAAGAAAGAACAACTGTGGCAATAGTTCAGTTATAGCTCTCCAGAGAATAACAATTGTACATATATTATGTAAACTCAGACTGAAATTTCCAAGTGTCATTTCACCTCAAATTCTGACCTTCAATGTTTATATGTTGAAACATGCCAGAAAAACATTTCTATACAGAATAAAACAGCATTCTTTAAAGAAAATTGGGCAAAATCTGGTTTTACAGAGAAGAGCTTTTTTGTCTCTAAGACACCGAGACCCACTAAATATGAACCTGCTGAGCAAGAAATCCTGCAAGAAGAATACAAGTAGAGTTTTGTTTTAAAATGTTCTTATATGCTTTCAACTGTTTAAAAGCAGGTATTCAAAACAGAATCATAGAATCATTATGGCTGGAAAAGGCATTTAAGAGCATCAAGTCCAGCCACTGACTGCAGTCCAAATAAATTGACTGCAGTCTGGTGTCAGTCCATAATGGATTTTTTTACTTTTTTTTTTTTTTTTAAATACACTGTCATACCCAATGAGAATAACCAGGTATTGTGGCTGGCTATAAATGTTAAGCCCCACTGCACAATGCACACAGCAACATGCCAGCAGCACAGATGCAGCAACTAACCTTTCATCTCTGCTTTGAACTTCTTTGCTTTCACAGCAACTTCTGTGTCTTGTTCTTCCACCTCCTGAATTTTGCGTTTCTTTGAAACAGCAGGAAGTGTAGAGTCACCAGATGGGTCAAATATTTTTACTTCACTGTAATGAAGAAAACAAGTCAGTTTAAATAACAAAGAAGAGATAGTCGCCAGGTAAGATCCTGCAGTCAAACATAAACTTTGCGATACAACCTCCTGAGAATATCTGCAAATCAATCTCGCACAGCTAACAAAGCATCTACAGGTAGTTAGGCCCTTTCTCCAATACATGAATCATTCATCAGTAATCATGACTACAGGAGATACCCTCCGAAGTGCTACTGTCTGATCTGAACAGAAGATACCAGTTAAGCAAGAGTTTAGTTTTCGTGTGTCTCTGTTCAAGGCTCTACAGAGCACTTAAATTACCCATTAGATTGATCTCTGCCACCAAAATCCTTTCTATCACAGCTGTTTATGGTCACAAGCACATAGCTCCCCACAATTTAGTCCATGTAAATCCATATAAGCATACCATAAGGATAAAATATACACACGCACACAGAGGATTAGAAATAGATTTAGTTTTGCTTTTTCTGCACTGCCTCTCCACCATTATGTTCACCAGGCACAACTCACAAGGCAAGGTAATGCTATGGCTCATCTCTGTGTCACTTGTATCATCGACTTTAAGGGACATGCAAATACCTAATCAGCATCTGAAACTGCCTCTTCCCGAATATTGCATTCTCTTTTGTTCAGTCCCAAACTCCTCTACAGGCTGCAGAGAACCATCCACCCTGAAACCCAGTGCTCTTTAACTGAACCTTTTCAGGGGCAGTGGAATCATCTAATAGCAACGAAGCAACCTTTTTCTTACTCATTCAGAACAGAATTCCTACTGAAAGAGAAAGGAGTTTTAAAACAGTAAGCCTAAACTATTCCCCCAGCCACATACTGAGCATCTGAACTTCTCTAAAATAGGAATCTGAAGTAGCTACCTTGCACAGGTAACAAAAGCAACTGAGACTAGTGACTAGACTGGGAAGCATGTGGTAATGCTAGGAGACAGTACGATCAATTAATCTTCTAAGCATCAGAAATTATTCTTACGGGTCTGAACACTGCACTTTGCTTTACAGGAATTGATTATGCAGCCTTTTGCAAACAGTGGACTCTGCTTCAGCTAAGCTCAGGTAAGAGCTCATTGGCTTCCTTGTAATTGCCAAACTACTAGTAATAAATAAAAAAAAACAACAATAAATCAGCAAGTAAACATGCCAAAGACAGGTAATGTACTCTCTCACATCTTTTTTTGGAAAGCATACTGAGATGCTTCACTGGAACCTCACCTCTAAAAAACTACCTCACAATTAACTTCTGAAACATTACTTTGATGTAGATATTCCATATGGGATCCACAGTTCCATACAAGACTAAGAGATTCTTGCCAATCTCCTTAAAACAGTAGTTCAGCCCTGCAAACAATCTCCATAAAGCAGCAGTACCGCAATTTTTTGTACTACAAGGACAGCTTGACAGGGACTGAGTCAGTTTCCCTTTTAGGCAGCCAGACTAAGCCAAACAGCCAGGAATTATCTTCAGTCTCTCCCCCAAGCCTAGACACGTTTGCAGAGCATGTCTAACAGTAGAAACATGTCCTGGCAGGAATTCATGACTCCTCATTTCAAGAGGTCAAAACCCAGCACGTATGTTGTCTCCTCAACACCCTCCTCCCTAAACTACTGCCTCCTCACACGCCTTGATGCTTCATTTACTGACACTGACTTTTCAAAAGCTGCTCCAGATATCACAGCCATCACTACACTTTGAAACGCCTAGCATATGGAAACAAAAGTTACAGCTAGCCTTGTGAAAGATGTTTGGGGACTGCAGATGGGTGCAATAGTACTATTTTTTGCCCACAGAACTAGCACCCAGCCCTGGTTTTGCTGAGCACTTGCCGTCACTACACCAAAGGTTCAGCAAAATAAGCAGGCCAAGATAAGCAAGAAGCCTACAACCAAATTAAGCGAAAACCCCAGATGTCACAGCTCAGACTAATAATAACCTGTTCCAATCCTTAGATGTTCAGCTGTCCCAGTTGCAATTCACAGTGTTACTTCAGGCACCAGAAACTGCTCTAACAACGTCCAGAGTACAAATCCTCTATTACTTAACATACATATTACGTTATATACGAGACCTAAACAAGGAGATGAGGCTTTGCCCAAAACAAGTGTTGCTTTTTTTCTTTTCTAAGACTAAGACAACCAAGTAGGACTCTAGGACAGCTCCATGTCAGAGAAATGCATTCAAACTCTGATTTTCTCAAATTTAATTTATTCAGGCTTGCATTAAATAAAGCTGCTGCACATTAACTCCCCAAACTATTCAGCTTTTTGGGCTAATGATGATAGCATCTAAATATACTTGTTGTCTGATGATGTCAGTAATTTACTACTAGAAAAATCTGGACTGTTTCTCCAGTTCGCTGGCTTTGCCACAACAGTAAAATGTCGGAAAATGGAAATTCCCATTAGCAATGCGACTTCTCATCAGTGTTTACGAGTACAGAAAATGACTTCTGGATCTTAAGTCAAACTCAGCCCACAACCAAAATCTTCTCAGAAATAAAAATATGGAGTTATTTATACTCAGCCAAGCTGAAAGGAAAAACTATTCACCTCTTGTTTTGATACTTGTCTGCCTTGGCCAAGGCTTTTCCAGTGCCACTTATTCTTCTTATCTACAAGAAAAATTTAGGAGTAAAAAAACAAAATTACTCATAATGAAAACAATTCATAACACAAGTTCTACAGCTCTTGAAAGAAATTAAAAACAGAAAGATAGACATATATTATTGGGCAGGCTCTTGTGTACCTGATGACTCTTACACCTGGGAGTAGAATAGTGACAGGGAGGTGAGTGAGGTTGAGAAAGGAATGTGCCTTTCTAATATTGCTCTTCAAGAGCCCATTTCAATTAAAGCGCATCTAATACTGGATCAAACACACCACAGCCACATGACATGTAACACCATACCTCTAAATTCCCAAGACCAGCTCAAATTTGCGCACACTTTCTTTTTTTGCAAGGATAACTGCATGTAAGGGCAGGTATCACCCTATGCCTGGCACAAAGCCAACCTTAAAACCACAATACAGGCCACAAACTGGATTTGAATTAAATTTGTATTTGTCAGGTGATCAGTTTGTGTTTTGGTATTAACATGTCTCCTTGTCTTCGTTTCAATGGGAACTATCATCTCCCATGAAATGCTCAAGGAGGAGCAGGCAGGTTTCTCTGGATTTTTCTTTTTCTTTTCTAGCGATGCCAGTACTACAGCATTAGTATCAGATCTAGCTTGGAAGGCTGAACCTAGTCATAATTTACAAGATCGCATGCAACAGGCATGCCACCTAAAAGAGGAAAGTGAACCCTACATTCTCCCAGCGTGTTGTGCTCATGGCAACAGATGGAGCAGCAGGTATAGATAGGCAGGACATGCATTAGGTGATGGGACGGCAATGCAGCAATTTGTACAATAACGTCTTGCTTTAGCTACAGAGAAAGCTCCTTAAGTCTAAGCATCACCAATTTTGAGGAACCATGGTGGAAAATGGGGGGGAGGGAGAGAGGAAACCAAATGAGCTTTCTTCTAAGGTGAAGAGAAAGAAGCTATGAAGTAATAAGCATATCGTTGCAATTAATACAGAGATGTAGAATAAGATCATACCTTTACATTCTACATCTTGCTCAGAATCAACATTTTTCAGTATAATGTAAATGAAAACAGGCATGTAAACAAGAAACACTGATATACAAACAAGTGGATGTACCCAGCTTACAAATCATAAAATGATTTGGGTTGGAAGGGACCTTAAAAGGTCATCTAGTAAATCCTACTACTCCAGCCAAGGTTGGGAGAAACTACAGAATAAGAATGACACTACATCACACAACTGAGTGAAGAGAAAAGACTCAGAAAGCAGAGCATCAGAAAATCATACCATGAACAAGAATGTCAGCTTCATGCAGCCCTCTACTAGACTTACCCCCCTCTCTTCCAAAAGCCTCAGTCTTGTCTCTACTTTTAGTCTGTTCTCAGCTCCCATTTCAGCACTAGTATCCTCTCCGAGAGCATCATAACGAATAGTCAAGGCAGTCTTAGCTGCCAGCATTCGAGAAATCTGGAAAAGCCAAAAAGAATATTAAACGCTAAGACTTAGCATAAGACAATGATACACTCTGATCTAGAAACCATATCCACACAAGTAACCATTTACTAGCAGTATTTAGTGCAAAAAAACCTAATTAGGACATCATTCTTTTAACACTGAAATACTGTTAACGTAACACCTTATTTTCCTGATAAATAAAGGGGAACATCTGACACAGCAAGTTAGTTACACATATCCCACTCTACCTCAACCTTTACATCAGGTTAGTTTGAAGTGTAATTTCTGGCTGGATAGCTTTCTCCACAATTCAAACATATTCATCCACCGGCATTATAAAAGCTTCAGCTCTTTAAAAGCAAGTCACAAAGGTTACTAGCTTTAGTACAACAACAAGAGTGATTTTCAAGTTATACTAAAGTAAGTTAGCCTCTAACAGCTTAGCTTACTATAATGTAGAAGAAAGCAGTAACGTACCCCTTGAGAAAGCCAGCATTACATCATTACTCAGCAGGA